TGAACAGTTATCTGGCATGTCTACTGAAAGTAGGACCAGAAGTAGTGGGTTTAATCTGCAGTAAGGGAGACTTACAACTTTCTAATTATAAAGCTAGGTAAGCTCTGGAATAGGCTTCCAAGGGAGGTTGTGGAATCCCTAACACTGGGTTTTAAGAACAAGTTAAACACCACCTGTCAGGGATGGTCTAGGCATACCTGGTATTGCCTTAGCATTGGGGGCTGGATGACCTCTGAGGCCCTTCCAGCCCTACGTTTCTATGATGCTAAGGAGGGGCATGATCAACACCTATCAGGAAGAAATTCCTTTGTGGGAGCAGTATATTCAGAACTAAATTGACCTTTTAGCTCCATATATTGTGGGACACAACAGTCTAGTTCACCACATCAGCAGAAATAGCTCCTCTAATGCACAAATGGACTTAAACGCTTGAGAGCCATATCCTTTTGTGGGATTGGGGTTCCCACTCATGGATAACGTTGACCAACTAGAAGGCAAAATATAACATCTTCTGCATGGATGAGTGAGTCAAGCGCCAGCTAAGATGCTTTTCTGATTCACTGGGGCAGCCACTTCATATATGCCTTCCCACCATCTCCACTCTTTCCCAGAGTCCTTTGGAAGGATGAGATGAACCATTTTGATACTCATAGCCACACCAGTTTTGATTTTTGGAACTCTTCCATCTTGCAGTTAACCACCTGTTGTTACCACCTCTTCTGGACATAATTTCACAAAACCATCTAATCCTTCATCCAAATTTGCAGTCTGCATCTAAGTTTCCTCTAAACTGCATGGCTGTGCGCTGCACAGCAGCCTCTTAAGCGCTGCTCAGGCTGCCTTGGGGAGAGATGCCCCAGCCTGAACCTGCCGGGGGAGGGGCACCCCTCCATCTGCCATGGCCAGAGGAGAGAGCTGGGGGAAGTTCTCTCTCCCCACAGTAGCGCTGGGGCAGTCTGTACCTCCCAAACCCCTATCCCCACCCCAGAGCCTGTAGCCCCAGACGGAGCCCTTTCCCTGCTTCTCAGCCCTACCCCGTCATATAAATTTTATTATGTGCACCAATATGCAGGTTGTCTCACCACCTCCATATTGGGGCACATAACAAAATTCATTCTGCATGTGCGTTGGAAATATTAGAGGGAACACTGGCTCTGCATCTGACAGCTTGAATGCTGGTTGGTTGACTTCCATGGATAGAAGCTGCTTGGTACAGGTTCAGGACTTTCCGATTCGGAGCAGGTAAGTATCCACCAAGTTAAAATAGGCAAAAAAGGGAACATTGTCTTCATCCACTGGAGACTTCCATTCCTCAGACATTGAGCTATTAACTGGTTTGAGAGTCCACTTGGCCACAATATCGGCCTGTTATCCTCCCATACAAGATTTCTCAATAGTCCTAGATTCCTGAAACAGCAAATGTATTTCCTCTCTAGCCATTCTGTATGGGACTCCAGTATGGTCCTTGCTTCTGACAGAACTGCCTTTCAAACCGTGTCAGATTGTTTTACCTAGCAAGTTAGACTGCATTCTGAGTGGCAACTACTTCAGCTTGCAGAATGAGTGAGATTGAAGCTTTGGTGGTGGTCATTCTACTCTGTGTTGCAAGGACAGCAACTCTGAAACAACCTTTAGGCAAGGTCTTAGACTTTCACCTGAGTCAATACATTTAAAGGGGCAAAACTTCATACTTTAGATATTCTGGGAACTCTCTGATATGAATAGTGTTTTTTTTAATATTAAAGAAATACTCTTTGGGGAATTATGCCATAATGGGCTACATTAATTTCCTGGATAGAGATTGGAGAATAAATGCTACAAGCACTGGTAGGGCCTGTTTACCTGTGGATGTGATAGATGACAGCTTTTCTTGATTAAAGGAGGAGGAGGGGGGAAAAAAAAAGCTAATGAGGTGGTGCAGTGTTAGACCTGGTTTTAGTAAGTAGTGAGAACATCTTAGAGCTGGCTGTCAGAAATAACCTTGGATCAAGAGTCAATTCAGTTGGAATTAAATAGAAGGATAATCAACCGTGTTGTCACTTATGATTTTTTTATTTCAAAAGAGCAGACTTGGGGGGGAAATCAAGGGAATTAATTAAAGAAGTCAACTGAGCTGAAAAGCTCAGTGACTTAAATGTGAAGGAGGCTTAGTTTTTGTATAGCTGATTGAAAGAAACTCCATCTGAAATTGTCATTCTAAGCAAGGGGGGAAAAAAATTGTAGGGAAAGGCTCCTGACCCCACTGGATGAATGACCACCTCAGAAATTTAGGAGTAAGCAGAGAGCCTATAAAGAATGGAGAAGGGTTGATCCGCAAAGAAAACTACTTTGCGGAAGCTAGAAAATGTGGGCATAAAGTGAGATTTGCAAAGTCAAGCAGGATTAGTGCTTATCAAGGAAACTAAAATAGTGGGGTTTTTTAGTTTTATAAAGATGGATGAGGTCGGGCTGCTATGCTTTGTGGATGAGAAGGAGATTAAAGATAAACTAGGTGTGGGCCAAAACCTAAATGAATACTCAGTTTTCAATAATAGGGAGCATGAAGGCAGTGCAGCTGATAGAAATAAATGTCTAGAAATAGAAACCAAGCTCCAAGTTTTTCTTCCACCTTCCAGAATACTGAAATCTGGCATGTTAGACTGATAGTCAGTAGTAGTGGAGTTCCTCAAGGATGGATCTTTAGTGAAAATACTTATGACCGTGGCACAAAAAGTAGGTGTGCTAATGAAACTTGCTTATACAGAGTTGGGAGACGTTGTCAATACAGAGGAGGATGGGAATGTTCTACAGGAAGATCTGGATGACATCAAAACTTCATCCCACTTCTCACTGTAGTCCACAATACTACAGAGTGCAAGATCATGTACTTAAGCTCTAATTTCTGCTACAAGCATGGGACTCATCAGTTGGAAGCAACAGAGGAGGAGACACACCAGAGTATGTAGGTCAAACCTAGAATAACTATGAGCAACTAGTGTGATGTGGCTGTGAAAAGGCAAGTGCAATCTTAGGATGGCATTTCCAGTAGAGAGAGAAGTATGAATACCATTGTACAAGACACTGGGAAGACCTCATCTGGAATACTGTGTAAAATTCTGGTCATCCATATTTTAAAAAAAAGGTACAGAAAGCTAGTAGGTCCTCCATTAACCTAATCATCCTATCTTATGAGAGGAAGACTGGAAGAGCTTGGCTTGTTTAGGCTAACAAAAAGAATGCTGAGAGGGGAATATGATTGCTCTTTATAAATTATATTGAGGGGTAAATACCAGGGAGGGTGAAGAGCTATTTAAGCTAAAGGACAGTATGACCACAAGAACAAATGGGTATAAACTGCCCATGAATATATTAAGATTGAAATTTAGCAGATGGTTTCTAACCATCAGAAGGGTGAGGTTCAGGAACAGACTCACAATAAGTTGTGGGGGCAGACAACTTGCTTAGCTTTTTAAGGCAGCTGGAGAAATAGGATGCAATTGAATTACAGGGTTGCTTGTGATGGTAGGGGGCAGGACTCAACAGCCTTGGGGCTCACTTCTAGTTTCTTACATTCCTAAAGCTCATGTTTTTGGGGGCTTCAATCAGGTACTTGTGAGGAGCAGGAACGGATTCTTCCTCTTCTCCTCCCTCCCCCCCAATATTCTGGGAAGTTTATCTCCTTGCCCTGAAGCATCAGGAATGGCCATGGCTGGAAATGGTACACTAGATGTGGTGGACCAGAGCTCTCAGGTGGCACTGAGCATTATCTCTTTTATGCACTTCGTTGGTTGGTTTGTGCTCTCATGCTCAGGGTCAAATTTATCACAATGTGGGGTTGGGAAGGGATTTTTCCCCTAGGTCAGATTGGCAGTGACCTTGTGAAGTTTTCACCTTCTCTGCAGCATGTGGGTACAGGTCATTTGCCAGGGTTATCTGCATTTACTTCACTTAATCATTTATCTGGAAACAAGGTGGCTTCAAGCACCCTCCTGCACCCCAACCCCCTTCTGACAACACAAATTACTAGACCACCCCAGGAGGGGGAACCAAATCCTGAGCCCTACTACCCTGGGCAGGGAAGGGGTCAAAGCCGAAGCGCAAGGGCTTCAGCCCCAGCCTGTAACCTGAGGGCTGAATCCCTGGGTGGTGAGGCTCAGGATTCAGCCCTGAGCCCCATCAAGTCTAAGCCAGACCTGACAACCCCATTAAATTGGGGTCGTGACCCACTTTGGGGTTCTGACCCACCGTTTGAGAACTGCTGCCATAATGTATATGACCAGCCTGGAAGCACAACAAGCAAGATACAAATAGCCTCCCAGCAAATGCGGGGGACATAAAATACAACCCTGGCACTAGCCTCTTCTAGTCTTTCTCCCAACCCTAATCCCGCTAAACTACCTGTGGTCCTTGTGAACCACTATGTTGTGACTAAGTTGTAGGGACACTTAAGTGGTTCTCCTACTCTTCTGGATCTTGAGAGACTTTTCAGTTCCTTCAAAAGAAACAAATATTGATTAAAAATACTAACTTTTCAAATACAGCAAGAATAATCTCCCCAATCTTGCTCTTTGCTGTGTCTCATAAGGCTAAAATGTAACCTCCAACACTAGGAATACCACCCCACATAGTAAGTACAATTGCTATTGGGTCTGCAAGATTGACTACTGAATTACAAGTCCTCTAGCGTTGCCTGTTGAGCCTCAAACTTGTTCTGACACTTACCTTCTCAGGATTTCCCTCCTAGATCTTTGACTTTTTTCTTCTGGAGCAGGCAGATCAGGGATCATGACAGTAACGTCACTAGATACAGGACTGAGTCTAAGGACCTACTACATGTAAAAAATATTTGCAGATGATGCATTAAGGGACACCAGACCCCGACCAGTGATCTAAAAGTGACTTTTTATAACCAGTCCTCTTCCCAACCTCTGTAATATGATCTGCATACTTAACTAGTATAAAGTGCACAAAGGCTCACAAGTTTGTTTTCTTTTCTTTTTCTTTTCTTTTTTTTAAAACAGAGCTCAACAAAAATCCAGTGGAAGGTTTTTCAGCAGGTTTAATAGACGACAATGATCTTTACAGATGGGAAGTCCTCATTATTGGTCCTCCAGATACATTGTAGTAAGTACTAGCAATCTTAGTAAAACAGTGTGTACCCTAGCTTGTTTAAACTTCTGTGGTTAGAATCTCAGCAAATGTGTCATGATCACGTTAACCCTAGTTTAAGAGTAAGGTTTTAATAGCTTGGTGCTCTTTTCACAGCAGACATTGTAGTTGTTGGATTACTGGACATTTGCTGAGTCTTATATTGCAAATACCTCTAATAACAAAATTATTTGCAAGTTCTGTGGAACATGGAAAATGATCCTTCATTGTGCATTTATTTGACTTCTCTTTGGGGAGGGGAGGGAATAGAGGAGCTTCTGGGATCCTCTATTTGCTCGTAAGAACGGCCCTACTGGGTCAGACTAAAGGTCCATCTAGCCCAGTAGCCTGTCTTCCAACAGTGGCCAACACCAGGTGCCCCAGAGGTAATGTACAGAACAGGGAATCAAGTGATCCTCCCCTATCACCCATTCCCAACTTCTAGCAAAGAGAGGCTAGGGACACCATCCATGCCCAACCTGGCTAATAGCCATTGATGGACCTATCCTCCATGAATGTACCTAGTTCTCTTTTGAACCCAGTTAGTCTTGGCCTTCACAACATCCTCTGGCAAACAGTTCCACAGGTTGACACTGCATTGTATGAAGAAATACTTCGTGTTTTGTTTTGTGTTTTTTAAACCTGCTGTCTTGGTTTCATTTGGTGACCCCCTAGATCTTGTGGTGTATGTAAATAAGGAAGTGTTTACTCTTTCTCCACATCCATCATGATTTTATAGATCTCTATCATATTTCTCCCATATTTCTGGTTAGTCACTTCTATTTTTTTCCAAGCTGAAAACTCCCAGTCTTATTGCTTCTCATATGGAAGCTGTTTCATAACCCTAATCATTTTTGTTGCCCCTTTTCTGAACCTTTTTCCAATTCCAATATCTTTTTTTGAGATGGGGGCAACCCCGTCTGCACGCAGTATTCAAGATGAGAGCATATCATGGATTTATATAGAAGCAATGTGATATTTTCTGTCTTATTATCTATCCCTTTCTTAACGATTCCCAACATTGTTGACTTTTTTGACTGCCACTGCACGTTGAGTGGATGTTTTCAGAGCACTATCTGCATTGACTCCCAGATCTTTCTTGAGTGGTAACGTCTAATTTAGACCCTCATTTTATATTTATAGTTGGAATTGTTTTCCAGTGGGCATTCCTTTGCATTTATCAAGATTGAATTTAATCTGCCATTTTGTTGCCCAGTCACCCATGTGCACTTAACCCTTTGTTTCCCCTAGTGTCACTAGTCAACTGAAGCCTTTTGAGTGCTACAAACATTACTTGGCTCTAACCATAATAAGTATATCCTTCATAGAATGTCAAAGACCAGTGGCACAAAAGGTTGAGACAACTGGGAACTTGGTTAGCTGCAGCAGATAGCCACTGACTTCTTTTGTGCCTTGTCAAACCTTGTGTTCCATACTGTTTTTTACAGTGACTTTCCAAAGGGTGCCAAAGAAGACTTACTATGTTTGAGAGAGGCATTTTCCCCACGTGGCAACTCTCTACCTGGTTTAGCCTGCCAGTTGAACCAGTGTCATGGGGCATGGCAGCTACTGCGGCTGCCTACTGGCAGCTACTTGGGGTGTAAAAGAGGTAGTACCTCAAAGTCAGGACAGTCACACTTTGTTTCACTTTTTTCTTTCATCTTTGCTTTGCACCCAGCTCTGACATAAGAATGGTAATAATGGGTCAGTATCCTGTCTTCTGACAGTAACTGGTGTCGATGCATCGGGGAATGAACAGAACAAGGCAGTTATTGAGTGATCCATCCACTGAGCCACAACTGTAGTGTGGGTTGTATGCCTGACCATCTTGGCTAATAGCCATTGATGGATGTGTCCTCCATGTATTTATCTAATTCTTTGATGTTCACAACGTCCCCTGGCAAAGAGTTCTATAGGTTGACTGCATGTTTAGGTAAGTACACACAATGGTTATTAGCCAAGATGGTCAGGGATACTCACAGACACATGCTCTGCATGTCCCTAAACATCTGACCTCTAGAATCTGAGATTGGATGATAGGAGATGGATTGCTCAATAAATTGCCCTGTTCAGTTGATTCCCTCTGAAGTATCTGGCAGTAGTCCCTTTCAGAAGATGATACTGGGCTAGATGGGCCATTGGTCTGACCCAGTGTGGCCATTATGTGAGTGAAGGCTGTGAAGTGAGGACAAGTTTAAAAAGAAACATTCAGAGTGCAACTATCCTGATTTTTTCAGAAGTGCTCCTTCTCCTTCTACACCCATATAATCAATCTCTGATAGTAGCTTCTCAAGCCATTTCCCCCATATCTAATGGGGTGAAACTGGCTGCATGCTGGCATCAGTCCTCTTGAGTCTCTTCATAGCCATTCTGAATTATGCAACTGACAACCTTCAAAAGGGCACTTACATAAGTAGGGCCCTACCAAATTCACAGCCATGGAAGAATGTGTGTCAGATCATGAAATTTGGTCTCCCGCCGTGAAATGTGGTCTTATGTGCTTTTACCCTATACTATACAGGTTTCATGAGGAGACGAGTGCTTCTCAATCTGGGGGTCCTGACCCAAAAGGAAGTTGCAGGGGGGGTATAAAGTTATTTTACAGGGCTTGTGGTATTGCCGCCCTTACTTCTGCACTTCCTACAGAGCTGGGCAGCCAGAGAGCAGTGGCTGTTGGCTGGGTTTCCAGCTCTGAAGGCAGCACCCCAGCAGCACAGAAGTGAGGGTGGCAATACCATACTAGGCCACCCTTATTTCTGTGTTGCTGCTTTCAGAGCTGGGTAGTTGGAGAGTGGCAGGAGTGCTGACTAAGGGCCCAGCTCTGCAGGCACAGAAGTAATGGTGGTAATATCCTATTATGCCATACTTATTTCTGCGCTGCTGCTGGCAGTGGCTCTGCCTTCGGAGCTGGGCTCCCAGCCAGCAGCTGCTGTTCTCCAGCCGTGAAGGCAGCACCGCTGCCAGCAGCAGCACCGAAATAAGGGTAGCAGTACTGTAACACGCTACAATAACCCTGTGAACCCCCATCTCCTTTGTGGGTCAGGACCCCTACAATTATAACACTCTGAAATTTCAGATTTAAGTAGCTGGAACAATGAAATTTACAATTGTTAAAATCCCATGACCATAAAATTGACCAAAATGGATCATGAATTTGGTAGGGCCCTATACATAAAGCAAAGAACTGGTAGAAAACTTCAGTCTCCAAAAGCTTATGATAAAAGTCCTCAAGGAACTAGTATGTTGAAGCCCTTTTTGTGGATCATTGTGCTCTACTTAATAGTGGAAGTGATCTACAGCTTATCCTGGACAGGCTCTCTGAGGCAGCTAAACAATTAGGATTCACCATCAACCTGGAAAAAAATGAAATCCTCTTCTAACAAGTCCCATCAACCACTGCACAAACATCACCCTCAATGGTATAAAGAATGTCAAACATGTCACATATTGTGATAGTACCATCCCAAGTGATGGTTCCCTGGTTCAAGAAATACCAAACAGAAAATGAAAGGCAGTCCAGGCTTTTTGAATCGTTCATCATAGGATACTCAATCAGCAGATTATCACGGTCATCCAAATGGATGTACAGTGTAGCATCCCTTTATACAGGCATGAGAAATGCTGTCTTCGCTCTCTTCTGAAGGTCTGCTGGCAAGACCAAGTATCAAGTTTTCATCCGGGCAGCGGGATGTGGAAAAATGGAATAAACCACATTGAGACAAATGATTATCAGAAGCTCAGTTTGGATGGACAGGTCACATCAGAAGTGGGGGTGCTGGACTTTCTGGGGCATATAAGATGAGTTGTAACTCAAAGCGCAGCAAGAGGTGGTCAGCGTAAGTGCCTCAGCCAGCCTTAAGCAGCATCTCAACTCATGGGGCATAAGTGGTGTGTGGTGTGTGTGGGGTTTTTTTCCCTCTCCCTGTGAAAACAGAGCCAGGGATAGACCTGAATGGAGAGCAACTATTCAGGGTCTTAAACATTTTGAGTGACGGTCATGGGAAGAAGAGAATTTTTTTGGGTGGGGGGGTGAAGGTGGGTAGGAAGAGCCAAGCATCATGCCATGTCTCCAGTGGGAGCATGCCAATAGGACATCTGTTTGCAACCTTGCTGCTTGCCAGTTGAGTTACACAGACACCAGATACCATGACATAATCTTCATAACGGCAGACAGACATATGTAAATCATAGTTCAGGTGGCACTTTGTAGCTATTGATTTGCTTATAACTACATCTGGGGGCTGTAACTTGTTAGGTTCTCACCTTTTTGTTTTCTTTCTCCTCCTTCTCCCGGGTGTCTGTGTGGAGAAGGGTAACCACCTTCTGCTAGATATTCACTAGGCCAGGGGATTATCAAACTTTTTTGCTGGGGCCCCCTTTGAAAATATTTCAGGCAGTTGACACCCCTGCCCCTAATACTATGCCTCCCTTACTTCTGTGTTGCTGCTGGCAGTGGCTCTGCCTTTAGAGCTGGGCACCTGACCAGCAGCTGCTGCTCTCTGACTGCCCAGCTCTAAAGGCAGCACAGAAGTAAGGGTGGCAATTCTGCAATCCCTCCCTCATCTCCCCTGCTTTCCCCCCCCACCCCCCCAATGGCCTTGTGATCCCCTTTTGAGTCAGGACTCACAGTTTGAGAAATGCTGCCTTATGCTCAGGCAAACAAAGTAGTATCCTGCTTTCTCTGAGAAGCTTCCTGCCCCCATCCCAGCCTGTTAGTGGAGCAGCCAGGACTAATCCCTTGCCTATAGTACAGATTTGCCTGCTGCAAGGGATTGCTAAGCATCTGCAGCAGGGAAAGGACAGCAGCTGCTTCAGTGAGGGAGGCATTGCCCCTACGTGACTGATTGAGGCAACTGTCTCTAAGTTTCAGGGCTCAGAATGCTGGGAGCTTACAATAAGATTCTGTCACTTTGCAACTTAGCACCCAGGTTGGATGCCACGGGTTTAATTTCACTGCTGCACTCGATTCAATTTCCTGTTCTCAGGAAATGGGCTATTCTGACTATCACTCAACTTTTCAGTTCCCTTATGAAGTCCGCACCGCTTGTTTAAGATCTAAGTGAGTCTGGATCAAACTAAAAGAACCCTGGGTGCTTGACTCATTCCTCTGCTATAACCATTAGACTATGCAACTTAATTACTTTGCTCACACAGAACCTATCTTTCTAGCTTGCTCCCATAAGCATCTGGATTCAGCAGCCAGTCCTGTCTTGTCAGTCCTGTTCACTATGCCCATGGGAAACACCTGTTATGAGTCACTACATTTGACAGGGCAATAAGTATAAACTGCAAAGTTGTAGTTTATAAAGGTACAGCAGCTTGCATATGGCAATAGCCTTTCTAATTGAATGGGTTAAAGGCTTATTGTTGGCTCAGTGCATGACTCAGAATACTGCATTCTTCTTTAGGGACTTGAGTTCTAGATTTGTTTTTAAAAAAAAAAAAATCTCCCAGCTGGGTGCATCAGTGTTGCAAAAAAATTACCAAGAGGGTATTGAGCTTTAAAAGGTTCTACCATTTACAGTACCCAGGCCCCTAATTCAATGTTTTCCTCCAGGGATTTGGGATTTCTTGATGGCACGCTAATATACAAATAGTGCAAAGGTGTTGAGTATTTAGCCATCTCTTCATGAACACCACTCTGCTGCTTCAATCTTTTTCCTCTTTATATTGAGGCAGTAACTTGCCTATCATGAGTGTCCAACATCTAATCAATGTCTCCTCTTCAAATTGTAGTCTCTTAATCTTCATTAGAAGTCCAAGCCTTTTTAAGCTCTAGCTGACAATGATGGCAACTGCAGAGGAGCTTGTCATAGTAGTCCACTCATAGCACTAGAGTCGCAACAACCTCCTCTCCCAACTTCCAATGCCAGGCCTTCTCTACTGAAACTGAACGTCTACTCCATGAAGTAGTAGGAATAAGGGCAGTGTGTGGTAAGAGGAAATAAGCTTTAACGTGACACCTTTGCTTGTTTCTAGCTATGTAGGGATTCACACTTACCAAGACCATATCTTCCTTGGCTTCAAACCTCCGTACTTAGACTCAAATTTAACTGATCTGGTGGTTTAAGTACATTTGTACCTAATTCTGTTTAACTCCAACCCAGTTAAATTGGTCAAAATATAGATTCTCTGTTAATGCTAGAAAATAACTTGGTTGTGCTGGTAATGAGCCCTTGATATCAGAGTGCAGAAATCCTTCATTGGAAGCATCGGTCAAGAATGATGGTGCTAAGGGTCCCGAGAACACTGTTTAGACTATTGATTTGGCAAATTTCCCTGAGATTCCTTGACTTAGTAGGTACTTCTAAATCTGAGTATTGCACCAGTAAACCTAGCTATAGATCAGACCTGTCCACTGATGAGGTGACCCACATGTGGAACATGAACAGGTATCAGGGTTCTATGCTTGCTTTTTCTTCTGGGAGTTGAATTGGGGGTATTGATGGGATCCCCAGTCATGAGACGGCAGTGGGAGCCTGGAAGCTAACTTGTAAGCCGTGACTCTAAATGTTCACTTCCTCACTTAGCTAGCTGGGAGCTCTATGGAATTTTGAGTTAAAATGACACTTTGTCCTCTGGAAAAATAAAATACTCCTAAACATTGTAGTCTGAGTATTTGGAGGGGATGGCGAGTAGCTTGTAAAAAGCTATCCATCCATTGTGTATGCTAATGCTATTACTATGAATGCCAGTGTTACAAACTGTTTAAATCTAATATAGATTAAAGTGTCATCTGACTCAATTTCCTAGTTTTGGACTTGCAAAGATCTACTTACTGATAATTCTTTAATTCCCCAGTGAAGGTGGCGTCTTCAAGGCTCATCTCACTTTTCCAAAAGACTATCCTCTCAGGCCGCCGAAAATGAAGTTCATCACAGAAATCTGGCATCCAAATGGTAAGAATTTGCTACAGTTTTAGCTTTCTGTACTTCTTAGTCACATCTTCAGTTTCATTTACAAGATTAGCCAGAGTTGTGTCCTGTGTTGTAAGAAACCTGTAACAACACCCCCCCCCCCCCATTTAGCTAACTGCCACTTGTTGTAATATACTATTTCTCCTCTCCATACTTGACACTTCACTGGTCTCAAGGTCTGTTCTCCAAGCATCTGCATCAGTCTTCCCAAGGTTTAGGCAGTATGTATTGATGGGCAGTGTCTGGCCCAGACAGATTGCTGGGGCCATCTCCTTAATGTAAGTCTCTGGTCTGGGGAAAAAAATGGATCCTAGGGTTAACTTTACATCACTGGCTTGGCAGATACAAGCTGGAAGGTGAGAAGAAGCGATTTCCATCCCTGGTGTCTTCTGAAGACACTGCTCCTATAGTCACACCATAATTGGGCTGAAGAACTTTACTGAGTTCTGTAAATCTGTAATACAGCTTAGCAGCAAACCAGCACAAAATGCCTCCATTGGAGGCGGGGAGAGAGGGAGGCCTAATAGTGACATCAAGTCAAATCCCAACTTTCACACGTATTGACGGACCTCCATAGGGAAGATGCTGCTTTATACCCACTCCTTAAGATACTGAACACCTGCCCTGCCAGGGGGTTGCTGGCTGTACATCTAAGACTCTGAACTCAGATTTATGCTTTCAGATGGGGGAAAAATAGCCACTAAACTGAAAATGGAGATATCAAAATGGTCCACAGGGCCACTTAGTTTTCCATGTGTTATTTCATGGATCAGATCAGTGATGTGAATAGTCTACAGCTATACTATAACCTTTTTGATATGAAAAAGGTGAATATCTGATTTTGTAGAACTCTGAAAGGGCTACAATTAAACTGTCCAAGTACTCAGTGTGCCCATATTAAGGCAGATATTTGCTTTAAATAAACTAGACGAGGGCAGGTCTGCTGTCTCTTGCCAAATTTCTTCTTTTTTTTTTTTTGCAACTTGTTTGTAAGAAGTCCTCAAACAGTGATACAAACTTGACAGTGTCTTGAAAGAAAATGTCTTTCCTGAAACTTTCCACAGCTAACTGTTTTGAAGGTACTTAAATAGAAGACTTGTTTGGATGGAGAATAGCATCCCCATATAATATCTTGAAGCCAGCAATTTAATCACCACTGAAATGTACCTAATGTGACTGCTTGACTTTGTAGTTGACAAGAACGGTGATGTCTGCATTTCCATTCTTCATGAGCCTGGAGAAGACAAATATGGCTATGAAAAACCTGAGGAACGCTGGCTTCCCATCCACACAGTCGAAACTATAATGATTAGTGTCATTTCTATGCTGGCAGATCCCAATGGTGACTCGCCTGCTAATGTCGATGCAGCGGTAAGACTCCTAGTTTGTAAATACAGTGGTGCTATGTGTAGCAGAAAGCTTACTTCATTCTAAATGCGAAAACCTGAAGGGCATATTTTATGACTTGGTAAGCATGGTATTAGATGACTGATAAGCAAAGACTGTCCTCTTGCCCAGTAAAAATGTACATGTAATGAAGCTTAAAAGCTAGAGTGTCTGAAATTCAGCCCCAGAATTGCTTTGAGGATTACTTTTTCTTGATAAACAAGTATTGGTTGCTAACTACAGACAAATCCTCCTGCTTTATAGGCTGAACGAGGCAAACACTGAAGCAGACTTGTCAGATAGCAACTTGCACAGGATACAGAAACAGGCAGGGTAGAGACTTTCTGCATTACATTTTGAGGCTTGGGTGCTCAAATGTAATAAGAAAACTTCAGCTATCTCCATAGCAATGAAGCTTCATGTAAGTGGCTATATGACTAATACAATTTGCCAACCAGTGTTGGCTGGTAGATGTGAGCTACAGGAGTTGTATTTTACAACTCCAGTGTCCTTCGGTCTACGCTGGAAACCCTTTCTGATGGTTAATATGCTACTTTGCATGTAGTGCAGAAAAGGTTTGTTCAGGAAGTCTTTTTTTGTTGTTGTTTTGGACAAGACTAACCACAGAAACTGATGCAGGGATCTTAGCAGGAAAAGTTAGTGATTAAAAATGTAACTGTTCTTTCTCTTACCCCAAAAAATCAGCCATGTCAGTGTCACGAGTATAGATTTAAACAGTGCATGCATAGGAGGTAATGCCTCCTTTTACAGACTTGAAATAGTGGAGGAATTGTGGGAAGGCATTGGAGTGTCAGCCCTCAGGTGACTTAGCATGTGTCCTCAATGCAAAGTGGCAGTATAAAAGCCTCACTTAGAATTCAGTCTGCAGACCCAGATGAACAAAATACCCCAGGTTGAAAGCACCACTAAGCTTAGGTGACAGGTTCTTGGGTGTTGCCCACCCCATGCCTCTTCCATCCACACATGCAGGGCTGGGTTAAATCTGCCGTGAAGACATCCATCATGTAAAGGGGTACACTTGCATATGAGGTTGGGGTAATACTGAATTTCACTTAGGAGAGCAGTGATTCCTAAGTGTGGGATGCATGAACACACCTCTACAATGAAAACCTATCTGAAGAACAATAGTCTCAATGCTATTTGCAGGGTGAGGAGGAGAATAATCCTCAGTGTTGAAAATAATTTAGGAGAGCCTGAAACACATTGAGATAGGAATGGCCCCACTCATTTTGGTGCATACTAACATGGATGTCAATGGCACTTGAAATGTTAACGTTTGAGCAATGATGCTGTTAACAAGCATGTAAGAAAAGAGGGAAGATCATAAAAATCTAAAGTAGCCTCTTATTGTTGGGGGAGGTGGAGGGAAAGAAAAGGGGAGAAAGGACTACCTAGGTGGATGCAGAAGATAGCTAAATTTAAGATGCAAAGGTCTTGAATAATGCAGGAGGCTGTAGGGATGTGCATCTAGTGTCACTTTGCTGAAGTGGGAGCTCAGCTTTCCCAAGTCTGGGAAAGACAGTGGTACAGTATGGGGGTCAGTCTTGATTAGGAGACTTGTCCTTAAGTCAGTGGTGGAAACAATCTTTTCCTGATAACCAAAAACTGCTTTCTTTGATAGCTATTTTTGGTTCTCTTTCTGTACACCTCAAACCACTTATGCTGTGCATATTACTACTGGAGACTGGAGTGTCAAGGAGACACAGATCTGGGGGGGAGGAATAGCTCAGTTGTTTGAGCATTGGCCTGCTTAAACCCAGGGTTGAGTTCAATCCTTGAGGGGGCCATTTAGGGATCTGGGGGAAAAAAAAATGGTCCTGCTAGCAGGGTTGGATTAACAAATTTTGCCCCCCAACCCCCTCCCAAAGGGGAGTTGTGTGCTCAGGGGATGGCGACAGGGGTGAGCTGGAGCAGGGAGTGGTTCCCTTCCCCCCTCCTCCTCCCAAGAGTTACTCTCCGTGCCCACCAGCCCCAGCTCACCTCTGCTATCCTCTGAACACGCCACTACTTGCTTCTCCCTCCCAGCGCTTTCGTGTGGCAAGGCCGGGGGGGGGGGGGGAAGGCAGAGGTGAGTTGGGGCAGGCCGGGGAGCGCTTCCCAGCCCCCCGTTACTCCGCAGGCCCTAGCTCACCTCTGCTCCACCTCCTCCGAGCGCGCTGCAACTCGCTTCTCCCTCCCTCCCAGCACGGCAAGCCTGGGAGGGAGGTGGAAGGAGGGAAGCGTGGCGTGCCTGTGGGAGGGAGGTGGGCTGGGGATTTGGGGAAGGGGTGGAGTTGGGGAGGGGGCAAGAGCAAATTTGCCACCCCAGCTAATTTGCCAGCCTAGGCCTCATTGGCCTAGGCGATAATACGCCGCTGCCTGCTAGTGAAGGCAGGGGACTGGACTTGATGACCTTTCAAGGTCCCTTCCAGTTGTATGAGAGCGGTATATCTCGATATATTATTTTTATAAATCTGAATGCTGTGGAGGTGCATACTAGGCTTTAAATGCCCAATAGTATATAGTATATTTTAGTTCTCTAATGATTTTTAACATTAATCTGTAGCTGACGTTTCTACATACTGATTTTTATACACTAAACCTGGTGCTCTTTCCTCAAAATTTCCAGTAACTAGCTTTACTGCTTTATCAGGATGTATTTTTGGGAAAGGGCCACTCCTTTCACTAATCTATAAAGCACATACTAGACTAAATGTCCAAACTTTTGAATGCTGTTTCAAAGGTAGTGAGAAAATTGCTAGCAAGAAGTTGGAAGGCTTCAGGTTTCATCCTGTGGTATGCTTCATATTAACTTCCACATGAGTAGTGTGGGTTTGTCAGGTCTCTTAAGTCTTTGAGCTGGGGTTGTAAACATGCTATGTGTCTCTAGAAAATAGCCTCCTGGATTCTAGTCCTTAAATATAGGCATTTTTGCATGGCCTAGTGTAATACCCTTAATTTCCATCCCCACAGAAACATGCAAAACTAGTGCATAGTCAGTCAGAAATACTCACTGATGTGAAACACACACTCCCTCTCCTCCCCCCCCCCCCCCCCCCCCCCCCCCAGG